GTAGGTTACAATTACATTAGCATGACCAATTATGCAAATTAGGTGATGACGTCATTTAGCGACTTCTAGCGACTTTTAGGACAACCAATAGCAATTTTCCTTACTGGGGAGTTGGCAACACTGGCTAGGATTAACCTCAGCTAACTGAGCTCACCGAACTGGACCTGTAGGCCATGTTGATTGCTGTAAGAGCTACTAGTATAGTCTGACTACTGTTTAGATTCCTAAGCTGTTATCTGCATAGGCAAGTTAGTACGATGACCTAAAAGTAAAACACATAAAAGTCTAGAATTTTGTTGTGCATGCTACTGTACATAGCACTAATTAGCGGCTATGTCCAGCAATAGACCCATAGAGTTGGTTAGCATTTGCTAACCAAACTAGCTAGCGTTAGCAGTTAGCTCATCACCTTCTCAACTGAATAAAAGGGGGGAAAGCACATGCTGTTCTTTTATATTGTATCTAGAACTGATGAAAACACTTGAAATATGTTTTTATGAACTGTAATAAATTTACTACGGTGGGAACAGTGATGGCCCTCTCTCTAAAATAATGCTGCTCTGCTCAGAGATGCACAGACTGAGAATAAATATTAGCTTTCCCACAAACAAGGCACCCTGGCCTTTTGACATCATGTCAAATCAGAAAATTAAAAGATAAGCATGAGAAAGACTCAAGGAAAACATTGGTATTTTTTTTCCACACATTCTTTTTTATTTGTAAATCATAAAAATGAAATTTTTTTTTATATATAAAACATACACATCATTTGAGCCACATCTGTTATACAAACAAGAAATGTTGCAGTGAATGCTTTACTTTTTTCTGATTTTCTTGTTTCAGTGGAACACAGAAGTTGTAAACAATCGGCAATTTTTTCTCCTGTTAATACTGACAAGGAAAAAAAACCCTAAATAAATAAGGAAAAAAACAGCTTCACTGGACAATGAAAAGAAATCTGGAGTGAGGCGGGACTGAGCATGGCGGGCCGGGCACAGACGCCGAGTTTGAAGCACAGAGAAGTGTTCAGACGAGGACTTTCAGACCCATCGCCGTCCCACAGCACGGTCCCCTCGTCACCTAAAGTACCAATCGCTCCTTATTATAAGACTTGGCCCTTTTTCTCAGTGAACCAAATGAAAACCCCGGGAATAGCTGCTGAGTATTTACAGGGTGCGACTTTCTGTGCATCTGAGTTTATTCTCCGTGTCGTCTGAAATCATTATGTTGAAACATAATTCATATTTTCATAGATCTGATTTGTACATATTTATTCATACATCGTCCCAGCCCCTCGGAGGTATACTATGATGTGGAATAACAGTAAGAGGGGCTGCGAGGTCTGCTCAGTACAGTACAGTACATCTTCCAGAGACATCAATGTAATCTTGGGATTCGGTTTGAGAGACATTCAGCACCGGACTGAAGGACGTGGACTGGACTGCAGTGGATTTAGATGTCTTGGCGTAATGGGAATGGCTTCAGTTTCTTGGTTTTATCTCTTTAATATTCAAGTACGAGCAAACTGTACAACTGCATGCAACATACAAGCGGCCCTACAGTATGTGGAGCTAACACGCGTATCTAGATTTTTTTTTTTGTTTGTTTGTTTACAAAAATGTGCATGCAGCTTGGAACGGGCTCCAAAGTCATGCTGCCCCTCCCCCCTCCGGGTGGGAGGAGCCTGCAGGCCGGACGGAGGATGAGCGTTGGCGTCCCGACGGATCGATCTGATTGGCCCACATTCACCGAGATGCACGAGGATTAAACTGTGACAGTATTTGTTGTTCTGTTTGCCTCCGAACGTCGAGACGAAACGATGAAGAGGACCGGTGACGGGAGGATTGCTGCTTTTTGTCCTTTTTTTTTTTTGTTTTTGATTTTTTTAGCTATGTATTATTATTTTTTTCTTCAAAACGTTAAACTTTTTGTTGTAAAAAAATCAAGCTCTTGTGCTTGTGTTTAAATTTTAAAAGAAAAAAAATGTTGAACT